GAGATCTCAGCAGGTGGTGCTTTGGAACCAAATTCTTATTTTCATCATACTTATTTAAGGTTTTTCATTACTAATTTTTTGGACAAGAATGTATTCTGACGTGCCGAGCCTTATGCTGTCTGACAACAGCCTTTTCTTTGGCAAGCTTTTCCCCTTAGATGTACTGAGAGAGATGAAAATAGTATCTAACTTTAAGTTGCTACTTCTTCTCTAAAATATAAGACCCTCTGACATAACTTCTCCAGTAAATTGAAACATTTCTTTTTACTAGGCAGTTACATGAAATATCATTAGAACACAACAGACTTACATACGTCTTATTGCTGCTATCTGATACAAGTTTTCTAGAGAAGTGACCCTGTTCAGCACACAAGCAAGCTGTCTTGGAATGGCAACATTTATATTTGTTGTAGTGGAGGCATGCTATTGTGAATGGTTTTAGTAGTTTTGGTCTCAATATTTGGCTGTCAGATTTATGGTATGCCAGAATAAGAGTTGGACCCCAAAGCTTCCCTATCCCAACTCAAATGCTCAATCTTACACCTACACCATGGACCCTCTTTCTTTTGTGTATCTGTGTTCTCAACCAAATTATTTACAGCTGACAGCACAGTTAGGACCATGTTCTTTGATTTCTCCAGTGCATCTAACATGATTCAGTCTGATTTAGTCTGTCAAAAACTGCAGAAAACTCAAGTGAAGGTCTCAATAATCACCTACATCAAAAATTACCTTACAGGAATCCGATTGTCAAGTTTCTAGGCAGTTAGTAAGCAGCACAAGAGCACCACAGAGGACAGTACTGTACACCTCTGACTTCATTTACAAGACACAGCTCGTCATAATCAGAAATGGATGACTCGGATGACTCTGCAGTATTTCAATGTATCATATAGTACAAAAGGCTAAGTACAGGGATCTAGTGAACCGCTTTGTGGCATGGTATGGAACCGATTACATCTGATCCTGAATGTCAACAACACAAGAGAGATGATTGTAGATTTAAGAAACAAATCAAATGCTATTAGCAATCATCGCAAGAGAAGAAGTGAAGGTGGTGTAAAAGAAATACACTATATTGCCAAAAGTATTTGCTCACCCATCCAAATTATTGGAATCAGGTGTTCCAATCACTTCCATGGCCACAGGTGTATAAATTCAAGCACCTAGGCATGCAGACTGTTTTTACAAACATTTGTGAAAGAATGGGTCGCTCTCAGGAGCTCAGTGAATTCCAGCGTGGAACTGTGATAGGATGCCACCTGTGCAACAAATCCAGTCGTGAAATTTCCTCGCTCCTAAATATTCCACAGTCAACTGTCAGCTGTATTATAAGAAAATGGAAGTGTTTGGGAACGACAGCAACTCAGCCACGAAGTGGTAGGCCACGTAAACTGACGGAGCGGGGTCAGCGGATGCTGACGCGCATAGTGCGAAGAGGTCGCCAACTTTCTGCAGAGTCAATCACTACAGACCTCCAAACTTCATGTGGCCTTCAGATTAGCTCAAGAACAGTGCGCAGAGAGCTTCATGGAATGGGTTTCCATGGTCGAGCAGCTGCATCCAAGCCATACATCACCAAGTGCAATGCAAAGCGTCGGATGCGGTGGTGTAAAGCACGCCGCCACTGGACTCTAGAGCAGTGGAGACGCGTTCTCTGGAGTGACGAATCGCGCTTCTCCATCTGGCAATCTGATGGACGGGTCTGGGTTTGGCGGTTGCCAGGAGAACGGTACTTGTCTGACTGCATTGTGCCAAGTGTAAAGTTTGGTGGAGGGGGGATTATGGTGTGAGGTTGTTTTTCAGGAGCTGGGCTTGGCCCCTTAGTTCCAGTGAAAGGAACTCTGAATGCTTCAGCATACCAAGACATTTTGGACAATTCCATGCTCCCAACTTTGTGGGAACAGTTTGGAGCTGGCCCCTTCCTCTTCCAACATGACTGTGCACCAGTGCACAAAGCAAGGTCCATAAAGACATGGATGACAGAGTCTGGTGTGGATGAACTTGACTGGCCTGCACAGAGTCCTGACCTCAACCCGATAGAACACCTTTGGGATGAATTAGAGCGGAGACTGAGAGCCAGGCCTTCTCGTCCAACATCAGTGTGCGACCTCACAAATGCGCTTCTGGAAGAATGGTCAAAAATTCCCATAAACACACTCCTAAACCTTGTGGACAGCCTTCCCAGAAGAGTTGAAGCTGTTCTAGCTGCAAAGGGTGGACCGACGTCATATTGAACCCTATGGATTAGGAACGGGATGTCACTTAAGCTCATATGTGAGTCAAGGCAGGTGAGCAAATACTTTTGGCAATATAGTGTACCTCAGTGTTCACTTGGACAACATAATTGACCTTAGAATCAACTGTGAGGTCAATCAAAATGCTTAAGGTCTTAAGTCTGTTGTGAAGAGAGTAATCTTTTTTGCCATCATCCGCTGGACTAACATATTAAAGCAAATGACTTAAAGAAGCTCAACAAGATGATCAAGAAGGTTGTCACTGTGCTGGGAACTCATGTAAAATCTAGACTTAAATTCACAAATAAGAATTCTTCATAAAGTGGAACCATATGGACAACGGTGAGCATCCTCTTCAGAAGAAACAACTCTAGTGTGATCAGTCAACGGCTTCATAAGATTCAATGTTAGACAGACTACAGGAGATCATTCCTGCTTACAGGTATAAGCATATACAACAAGTTATTGAAAATAAAAACCAAAACATAAGTTACTAAAACAGTGAATCTCCCTTTGGTATCAATGAAGTATCATAGTTTTATACAGTACAGGTACACTTACTGATGGCTAAATTTAAAATAGGATGATCACAAGCATGAACCATTAATCATCAACCACAGATACATGCTTATATCCTTTACAATTAGTATGTTTGTGGCATGCAGGAGATGCAGCACATATTTCATCTTCTGTGTCTTTTTTTTTTTTTTTTTGCCTCAGCAGAGATGAGTTCACCTCATGCGGGGAATAAATGAAAGCTAAATGATCTTAAGGCTTCAAGTTGAAAGATACCATTAAAGCTTTCTGGAAAGACAACACAGGAGTGTGCCAAGTTCTCACTTGGCAGAGTAAAGCAACAGATGTCATTACGGCTGCACCAGTGGACGGCATCCCCACATTAGTGTGCTGAGCGGGTGCGGCTTAGTATCTAATGATGTAGATGAAAACACCCAGGAGTGCTCCAAAGGAGCCTGTTAAGAGAGTTTTTGCAAGTTATCCCTCTGCCTGGGCTCAATATGATTTCTGTTTGTATCTGCCCAGTTAATCCTCTTATTTCTGAGTTGGGTTTTTTTCATATTCTGGATGTTTTACTTCTTAAAGGAATAGTACACCCAAAACATGATTAGCCTTCATTTCCTACTCACCCCCATGCTGAACAACACTCTGGAGTACTTTTTTGATATCTCAAATGCATCTGGAGATCTGGGAGGCTTCTTGCTGTCTGCTGACATTCAAATAATGGAGGTCTACGGTGCCCGAGACAGAAAGGTCCATAAAAGTCCACAAAAAACGTGTCAATATTCCTCCATACTGCTCGTCCAATGTATTCCAAGTGTCCTGAGTGGGTAGCATCCAGAATTTACTCGAAACGAAGTCATTTAGAATGTTTTTAGAGCATAAACAGTAGTGTATAGTATTTCCTGAAAGCGCGCGCCAGCGCGTTCAGGACGCTACGGAAGCCGGCAGACCAAACCAGATGAAAGTGCGCATTCAGCATCTGCTCTGCCGATAATGCAAGCGTAGAAGAAGAAATGTGCTGTTTACCTGTGCAAAGAAAGAAACAACGAAAGAAAAATGTCTGAGGACTTCAGTTTTGAGGAAGAGCATGAGTTCTTTGCCGAGCTGAATGCGCTGGTTTGGTCTGCCGCCAAAGTGCGCCTTATAGTCGTGAAAATACGGTAATCAAATGTTCTTCAGACTGGTCCTCTCTATTAGATCAACTCAGCTTTGATGAGAAACTTTTATTTCCTTCCTTTTCTCTTATTACCTGGCTTTATTTATGGTGTTTATACTGAAACAGTATTAAGGATGTATCGATACAACCTTTTCACTTCTTATAATATGCCAACAATACAGGTTTGATTATTGACCGTTACCAATATTGACCCGACGCATCAGCATACATCATACCTGCTTTTATTACTCATTTTGTATCATGGAATGAAGCAAGGGTTTGATTAAGTAATAACACTTAGGAGTAGGAATGAAAACAACTGATCCATTTATTTACAGTCAATAGTTTACAGAAACTTTAAATGTAAATGTTCCTTGCTTCCTCATACATATATATATATATATATATATATATATATATATATATATATATATATATATATATATATATATATATATATTCAGATTATTATTATTACTTTTTTTTTTTTGCTGATATCAGACTGATTTCAAATAACGACTATGGATTGGGATATTTCTGAACACTATACTGCTGTATAAAGTCTTGAACTTTCATAAATTATGTAACATCCTGTATGCACACACAATAACTTATATCTAATAAAGCATGTTTTAATGCATGTCTTTTTTGTTTTGTTTTGTTAATTTGGCCTTAGACTGTCATAGTTATAATTAACACAGCCTTGCAAAATAAACACAATCTACCAAATTAAAGGGAGATAATTCCATTCAGAAATACTTTATCAAGCAAACGGATATTAAATGCTCTGCTAACTCATACCTTTTTTGTTTGTTTGTTTGTTTGTTTGTTTTTTTATTGAGTTGTCGTAGATGTTGATAGCTGTAGACAGGAAGAAAGCCTCTGACTGAAAACACTTTGTTGTTGTTTAAAAATCTTCTGAAGAAGATGGTTACTATTGTCCATTATCTTCTACTTTGTTAAGAATTCATCTTTGTGAAATCATCTCCAAGTTTTAGAGGAGTTCTTAAAACAGAGCATGCCTTCAACACACACAAAAAAAATTCTATTAGTGTTATTTTGCTTATTTATTTTTTTTTTTTCCACAGGCAAAGCTTTTGAGATAACATACATCCGGTTAAAGTTCTACACCAGTCGGCCAGAGAGCTTCGCCATTTACAAACGCACGGAGAAGGATGGGCCTTGGTTACCTTATCAGTATTACAGTGCTTCATGTGAGAAGACATACAGAAGGTTCACCAAAGGCTACATTCGCCCTGGAGATGATGAAAGGACTGCGTTATGTACAGATGAATTCAGTGATATTTCCCCTCTCACTGGAGGAAATGTGGCTTTTTCTACCCTGGAAGGCCGGCCCAGTGCCTACAACTTTGACCAAAGCCTGGCACTTCAGGTAAGCAGACATTTTGCCAGATGTTTAAAAAAGAAGCAACTGATGTTTATTTACAGTGCATGCAAAGTAATAACATTTTTCATCACTGTGTTATTTTAAATCAGACTAATGTTTTCCAGTTTCAGGTCATACAGGATTACCTAAGTTGTTTTTTTTCTTTTTTATTAGCTTAACATAATGAGAGAGACAAACTAAAACTGTGACATTTTTGAAAATTCTTTTTATATTCATTTCTTTTATAATTAGTAGAACCATTTTACAGAAAAAAGACATAAATAGTGTGACTGTATCAGCATTGCACACCTTTTAATGTAGTCCCACACATTTCTGTTGGGACTAAAATGAAGATTACCCCATCCAAACGCTTCATTTTACCTTTAAACCTCTTTGTAACCAACTCAGCACCTAACAGAGCCTTTTTTTTTTCTTTATCTTATAAAAATAAAAACACACAACATGATGCTTCCACCTCAAAGCTTAAAAGGTTGAATCGTGATTCCAGGTTTTAAGACTTCCCTTATTTTATCCAAACATAACACTTACTATACTATACTATACTATACTATACTATACTATACTATACTATACTATACTATACTATACTATACTATACTATACTATACTATACTATACTATACTATATTATACTATAATATACTATACTATACTATACTATACTATACTATACTATACTATACTATACTATACTATACTATACTATACTATACTATACTATACTATACTATACTATACTTACTATTAAATCATGTTGTTACAGAACTTGTTTTAATTCTTCACCAGCTTCAGTCAGCATTTAGTCAGCATTTTACTCTTAGTCTTCTCTGGTACATATAAGGTTCTGGAAAGGATTGCATGTACAGCAGTATGATTACTGGACATTTAAGTTATGTTTATACTTCCATGACTGTTTAAATTTATTTATCAGATAGCAGTCTTAGATATCTGGAACCTAAGGTAAAGGTTGAACTAGGCTTAATGCCAGAACACACCGAATCCAATTTTGCCACCGATCTGACTGAAAATCCTATCAAACAAGTTTGTGGCATTTAGCGCTCATTGAATGTCAATGGATATGATCTCACCTGACACCTGACAACTTTTCCATCTGAGGTTGACCCCAGTTCCATTTTGCTCAGACTACGCAGCAATTTAGTGGCAATTTCCTGGGTCTGACAGGAAGAAAGACATCGTTACAATGTAAAACACATCCGCTTTGGAAGAAAATTCAATATAAAGCCTGTTAATCGCATGGGGAAATAGTCAATTTAGCAGTTGCTCATTGCATATATACAGTAAGCGGGACAAACTGGTGTGAAAATGATGAATGAAAAAAGTCATTATTAAATACATAATTTACCTATGATAGGAATTCAGGAGGAAAGAAAACAGATAAAGTAGTGATCTCTTTAAGTGATCCGCTATAAGACAATTTCCTTGTATGAGCTGTCTGAATTGTCTCTGTTGAGAGACAGAGCAGGCAATCATGGCGTATCTCTCAACTCTATAAAAAAAAGAAAGAAAGACTTCAATAAACTTCCCAGATCTCCCACTGAGAATCACCTCTCACTGCCTCACTCAGCATATAAACCGTTCCCACGGCATTTATTGCTGTGTTTTTCTTTTCTTTAGATGTAGATCTTATTATGTTTTTAATATACTCATATGAACATTCTCTGTTCTGATTTGAGACGCTGCTGAGACTTGTTAAGTAGGGCCTTTTTTTCTAGCTGCACCAATGTTTTTTTTTTTTACATACCGTTTCATAATCTGTCCAAGACAAAAGAATTGTTTTAACTTGTGTATAGCACAGAGACAGAAGTGAAAAAAAAATCTGCACAGATATTCCCACCTTATCTATAGTCGAAGCTTCGTTAAGCAGTCAGTGTGACATGAAAAAAAATCCGATGTGAGATTGAAAAGTCGACGCAGCCGGTGTGTTCAGACTTTTAGAAGATCTGTTGTTCACTTCCTGTTCTCGTGACTTTCTGTCGATTTTCTCATAATGTCACACAAGGAAGCAAAACATTTGATGCTTATACCTATTTGCTGAATAGCTAAATATATATATATATATATATATATATATATATATATATATATATATATATATATATATATATATATATATATTTATTTTATTTTTTTTTTTGTTTGTTTTTTTTTGTTATTTTTTCTGACTTGAAAGAGAAAAAGCTGATTTTCATTTAATTTCAAAGACAGTAAAGATAGAGATTGTGAAAACAACAAAACAAAAGAATTCTTAATTTACAGTTAAAGCTGAAGTCTGTAAGTTTTTAAAAATCACTTTTTTGTCATATTGGCTAAAACTGTCCCTATGCCCAGACAGCAGTATATGTGATTTGTAACCTGTGAAAAAAACTGCTTCAATTGGTACCGCATACTGCCTGTATTTCAATCTGGAAAGAATAATTCGGGACGAGCCAAAACAACCAATCACAGCCAGAGGAGCGTCTGATGGAGTGTCAATCACAGCTCCCCCCCCCCCCCCCCCCCCCCCTCACCGCTTAACCTGCCGCAGCCAGGAGGACGCGCGTGGAAGTCATGGTGGAGCGACAGCCACCAGCGAAAGAGAAACTGCCCTTACTGCCCCTACCGACATCTGCTTACACGGCAAACTTCGGTATAACCAGCATCTTATATCTAGCTGCTTGGAGGTGAGTGTTATCGCTCTTACCGGTTCACACTCCATGCCGCGTACGCTGCTTGGACGCTTCTGGTCGCATGCGGTAGCCGCGCAGATGCTGTGAGAGGGGTGGAGCTTGGAGGTGGGGCATGAGTGAAGCAGAGAGGGTGGGGGAGTGGTGTGAAACCTGTTTTTCTTCAAATTTTCAGTCGAAGTCTGCTCTCTTCTCAATGTTACAGACTGCAGCTTTAATGGAAAGCTGGTTACAGCTTTATGATTTATAAAAGATAGGCCAGATATGAACTTTAAAACTGGCAATAAAAAAAATCAAGATCAGTAATCTGCTTAACCAGACCTAATTTAAAATGAACTCAATATGCTTTTTTTCAATAAAAGATGAATATAAGAAATGTGGTGAACAAGATTTTATTCTTAATACCAATTTAAGGGATTTTAAAGCTACAGTGTGTAATAATTACAGGCATATAAAGTCAGAAATTTAATATATTATACATAACTATGTTATTTATCATCACCTATGAGCTCAGCCTTTTAACCATAATATTTGCGTTGCCTTAGAATTCGTTATTTATAATTACATAGGAGCGGGTCTCGCAGCCATGGAGGCTGACATCTTTGCGCTACGGCAAGCGCAGAGGCAACAAACTAGCGATTGCGAGATCTCCCATGACGCTCAAAAATAACTACGGCAAGTTGAGAGAGATTAACTGAGATGGTACTGAACAGTAGATGGCAGTATTATGCCTGAGAAGCGTTTAGTCTGCCTGAAACCAAAGAAGAAGAAGAAGCAGGTATACTGCGCCTCGGTAACAAGAAAGGTGAACAAGGCGGCAGGCGTGAGTGACTTTGCAAACTGTTTGGCACTGTGTGGCCAAACATCAGACGAATGGAGGATCATGCCTACTCTGTATCACAACGAAAAGCGGCGGACACCGAACCCCCGTCATCTAAGAAGCGGAAACACGACGAGAATAAACGCAAGCGTGACAAGAAACGGCAAAAAACACGGATCAACATTGGCACGGCATTTACACGATGGAAGTCACTGATGGAGGAAAAAGGTTTTCAAAGTGACGCTCAAGTTGCCAGTTTTCTCTTGGACAGGTAATTAATCCTGCACACACAATTGTCTAATATCACTGCAGTTTTTGGAGTACAGGATGCTCAGACCTGTCTAAAACAATAACATGCTGCGTGATGATGCTGTTACTCTCCAGTATACTTATTCAGCAACGTCCCTGACGTTTCACAGGTAATGATTCAGTAATTTTCTGTAAAATAATTTTCTGGATATATACCTCGGTTACTTCTCTCCGTCTCCTTTGGAGATCTTCAAGCCTTTCCTCCTCTGCTCTCACCCCGCTGGCTCCCCTCTCTCGCCTGGCCCTAGCTGCACGGCCTCCCTGCCTTCGCCCTCGTCCTCTCCCTCTCCCTCGCGTTGTAACCCCCGTGCCACCAAAATGACTTGGACTCTGTAAACGGGGGATATATATTCTTCCAGCGAACACAATCTCGCTGTTAAACTAATGACTACAATTACTTCGTCTGTTTATATCACCATGCAAAGCAGCTCACCAAGACATCACAACGATGTAGAAAAAATAACGGGTATATTTATTATCTTAAGTCTACATGAAATCTATACCCTACACAGACTAATGAAATACTATCTGTAAAATTATCTATGTAAACAAACCTCATCACTTGAGAGGGTAGGTGATGTGGACGTCGTAGAAGAAATTTTGTCCCGTAACGCTCGCCGTACTGTTGGGGGGGAGAAGCGGTGGGGGGGAGATGTTCATGTTGCTGCGGTCTGTAGTCTGACCGCTAGATGTCGCTGAAAATTACACACTGTAGCTTTAAGAAAAGATGTTTACCTTTTATTTAATACATCACTGAAATAAATGTATTTGCTAATAAAAAAAAAAGTATACCTCTGCTCCAGTCAGGCTGGTGTGCTTAGCGCACAGTCACAGAGTGGACCTGTTAGTGAGGGCCGCAGGGAGATAGTGGGCTGCAGAGATTTGAAAAACTTTTCCCATAAAGCCTGCCCAATGAAAAGAAATCATGAGAATATATATATATATATATATATATATATATATATATATATATATATATATATATATATATATATATATAATATATATATATATATATATATATATATATATATATATATATATATATATATATATATATATATATATATATATATATATATATATATATATATATATATATATATAAGACTATATTTTTCATTAAAATGTCAACCCAGCCATTGAAAATGGGCCAATCTGTCAAGAACCTT